AAACTGTTTTTAAATTCGAAACTGTATTATTTTAAACTACACACTTAATTAGGAATTATTTTTTTGAAATTATTTGACTAGTTGTGAAAGTTAAAGTAGTTTGGATAGTTTAAATAAATTAATTCGTCTGTTGTGAAAAAAACTCTTGTTTGCTTGGAAACTAATGAAAAGTTTGAAATATCAGGCAAATGTTGAATAAGTATAGTAAAAGGTTTATCAGGTTTTGAATTAGTAATGACTTATTATCTACTGAAGAATTTTGGCATTATTCGAAGACACGAAACTGCGTTCATGTAAAAAATTGAAAAAGTCGACTTCTCATCTTATCCTAATTGCTTTTTTGCTTTAAATTCACGATCTGCCAAACACTCTTGTGTAAATATGCACATTTTAATGAATTATTCATATAATCAAAAGTTCTGTATGACTTTTTAATTTAAAGCTTTTGGTAAAAACATAAAAATTAGTTGTCAAAATTTGAATCATGCTGTGTTAGAAAGAAAAGTGACTCTCATGATTTTATTTTTGTACATATATATATATATATATAATAGGTCACTTTGCACGAAGGCTACTGATAGCTTTAACCTTCAATCTTGTTAAAATCAGTGCATACTAATTAGTGAATAAAAAATCAGATATATCTCTAAACGTAGCTTTTTAAAAGCATGAGGATATAATTATTTATCATAAAATATCTATAATGTATAAACAATAATTTTAATGAAATAAACTAAATCTGTGCAATTTAAAAATCTGCATCACAAGACGCGTTACTTCTTCCTGAGAAATATCAAGTCTAATCAAAATAATTAGATATTATTTAAGCTGAAATAAGAAAAAAAAAGTCATGCCTAAACTTTATTGTAGCAAACATATGCCCAGAGTTATAATGTCTAATTATACTACACTCTCTTTAGATGTATTCTATACAATGACCTTAATCATTGACCTTAATGACTGTAGTTATTAACCTTAATGACCTTGTATTGTTTCCTTTACATAAGAAAAAAATATGTTCAAAATTAAATAGTAGAATATGGTAATTTAACTATTTTTCTGACTCTATAGGAACACCAAAAAGCTCGGTAATTTTTATCGAAACAATTTGGCAACGATTTTGGTGTGATAAAATTCGGTAAATGTGATAAATTTGGTAATTTCATCATGATGCCTTTGAGCTTGTTGCAAAAAGCATTTATGTGGTTAAATTTACTTTTCGGTTTTCGATTTTTTACTAAAGGTGTGGTATAAAGAACTATAATTTAAAAACCAGTAAATCCGGGAAACCGTTACCATGTGAACTGGAAAATTACTAAATGAATTACCTATATATCATATATTTTGGTTTTATTAACCAGAATTGTGTTTTTTTACTAGAAATGTCTTTATCATACAGTGAGATAATTTTGCCAGAATTTTTTTCTCCGTGTATAATAATTAGTTTCTCGTGGACTACAGCAGATTTTTAATTGTGTGCTTAAAATTTTCTTAACTGCAGCAGTCATCCTATATCTAAATAGAGTAATTTCTTACAACTAGCTCATGGGCTGCAATAGCGGCACAACTAAAAAAATCATGTTTTGAGATAAGCGGGTTTAAAGTTTTCGTTACTAAGCAAAATGCATAAAAAATGCTTTAGTTTGCTTAATCGAAGATTAACCTTCAAGTTGAATAATGAGTGTGCTAGCATTGCTGCGGAAAAGAATGTGTATTTTCATATTTACACTTGTTCTTAGTTCAAAACGCGTGTTTTTTGAGTTGTGCCACTATTACAGCCCATGAGCGAACTGTTTAATGAGATATTTTTCATCTGAACAGTTAAAAATTAAAAAAAAATCCTTTTGCTGTAAACTTACATCCTTTTTCAAACAAAATCAAAGTGAGATGGGTAAATAAAAGAAAACACTAGAGAAATAAAAACACTTACTTTGATTTGACTTCGATCGAAGTTTTGTTTCCGGCAGATGTTAGTAAAAAGCGGGCACAGCTGGCAAAAAAGACGTTTTGTTCCCATGAGGAAATAGCAAACAGCTTTAGGAGAAATGATAAGGTTAAATGGAGGAGGTAAGGTTGATCCGTCATCGAAATATCCCATCCATAATTTAGATCGAGCAAACTTCCATTCTCTATCTGCATGATCCTAACAATTCAAAAATTGTAGAAATATTTAAACAGTATTTTAAACATTCAAGATTAAAAAAAAGTACCAAAAAGTCATGCCAAACATGCTAGATTTTCCAATTTACATGCAGTTCGAAAATCAGGCTATCGATCCTAATGTTGATACAAGTGTCAAACAAACTAACTACGCTAAATGAAGTTAAAGTAATGGTACGCCAGTATATCCATAGTGTTGAAACCCTGAATGTGTTCTTTTTTGGCAATATAAGACCCAATCTAGTGGTTAAATTGTCAAAAGTTAGGTTTTAGATAAAAAAGATTATCACTTGGAAATGGTGGTTGTCTGCAAAATCAGGTGAAAACAAAACTAGATATTTTTATAAAAAATATAACAAAATAAGTAACTTGACCGTGGACCGTTATTCATAAATATTCATTAAAATGTGTCAAAAATGACGTTAAATATAGAACAGCAAACTAGAAAAACTAATAAAATAATTAAAGATATTCCAGTAAAGATTAGCAATATAAAGCGACACCTTCTAACACGGATGTTCGACGTTAGATGTTCACTTTAGCTGACCCGATTTGATCATTATTTTTAAAACCCAGATAGTTCGGGGTACCACTCACGTAATGTCACTGCATTATTATATATTGATGATTTTGTTTTTATATTGTTGTTTTCTTAGCGTTCAAATTCCCTACTGTTTGGAGAGGAGTTATCGACAATGTCAACCTTCATCTATGAAAAGGTACCCCAACATAGAATCGAGTCTTATGTACTTAATGTCTTATATACTAGTGAATTGGAATTGTATTTTTGTAGTGGTAGATACACTACAGTACTCCCCCACCAGACTTTTATGTGTGATAGAATTTGATGTACGGGATACCACTAGTTGATTCATTGCTGTTTTGTGAGAAGACGGGAGATTTGTTTTAAGATCACCGTACTTTTAGTGCTGATCGTGAAAGCTGTATTAAGTTCACGATTGTGGCCGCTCCTGTATTGCCATTAGCAGTCGAGTGTATACAGGCTGACGTTGTGTGCGATCGGGACTGAGTAGCAACAGCGTGAGGAGGTGGATAATGTCGCAGTCACAAGTAGCAAGTCAACTGTTCAATGCGAACCATCAATCGAAGTAGGCGTTTTCAGATCGAAGTGGGAATTTCTGTCAAGGTAGGCATGTTCACATCACGTCCGGATCACTAATGTGGGGAGAGGAGTTACCGACAATGTCAACCTTCATCTATGAAAAGGTACCCCAGCATAGAATCGAGTTACCATGTCTTACACACTAGTGAACTGGAATTATATTTTTGTAGTGGTAGATACACTACACACCTACCATTAGAATTTATTTTAATTTAAGAATGACTCTATAACCCTGAAATTTCAGAAATTAAAAATATGAAACCTGCATAGCAATGAGAATTAATTTATGCGAATTGATAAATAATAGTATAACGAGCTTTAGTATATAAATGAAATATAGTTCAGTATGCGTACAATATTCATTTTGAAAATGATAATGTAATTTATATACATTGATGATTAGATACATTAAATGCCAAAGCATGCAAAATGCAAGTTTTAATGCATATTCAATAAAAAGAATCAATTTAATTACATATTTAAAATTTTTTTCAATATATTTGGAAAATTTCAAAACGCATGCAGCGGGTGATATCAAAACAAAATTGTTAAGAATCATCTGTTTCACTTTCAGAATTTTATAAACCATGCACGAATCATGCATAAAAATACATAAAAAAAGAAATAACTAAGCACAGCCTAATTAAAAAAAAGAGCTGAACTTTATTTTGAGAAAAAAAAAACCCTACCTCAATCACTTGGAAAGATTTAGTCATCATAGCAATGAGCATGTTTATAAGAACAACAATTGCAGTCACGTGATATGACATGAATAGACCTTGTCCAACAGTTTCAATAAAGAAGTCATCTTCCACTAAATCTGTACTTTTGGGTGAACTTATTCCAAATAATGACCAGAACAAAGTTGCGAATGTGTTTCCAATCCTGCGATGAAATAACTCTCTATCAGCTACGAGACTTCGTAGTAAAATTATATTTGTAACGTTTTTTTTTCATGCGAAATTATTTTTCAATGGTGAGTTGAATGAAAAGACAAAATAAGAAGTAGTTAAGAGATAAATAATTCCTGAACGCTCTTGAAGAAAGAGTTTGATAATAACTCAACAAGCTGCCTTCAATTACATTGAGGAAGAAATTCTTTGTTGCATTTATACAAATAATTGATTTTGCCTAATATGGGTGTGGGATTTCAAATCGAAAATCTGATTTTCTCCTAAAGCAATAGATTTTTTTAAATGACATTTTTAGTCTATTTTTTGTCAAAATGTTCAAGTTTAAAAATATTATATTACGGAGACCGGGTAATCTGATTTTCTCCTAAAGCAATAGATTTTTTTTAAATGACATTTTTAATCTATTTTTTGTCGAAATGTTCAAGTTTAAAAATATTATATTACGGAGACCGGGAAATCTGATTTTCTCCAAAAGCAATAGATTTTTTTAAATGACATTTTTAGTCTATTTTTTGTCGAAACGTTCAAGTTTAAAAATGTTATATTACGGGGACCGGGAATTGTGATTTTCTTCTAAAGCAATAGATGTTTTTAAGCGACATTTTTAATCTTTTTTTATCGAAATTATCAAGTTTAAAAATTTTATATTACAGGGACCGGGAATTTTGATTTTCTCCTAAAGCAATAGATTTTTTTAAACAACATTTTTTGTCTATTTTTTGTCGAAATGTTCAAGTTTAAAAATGTTATATTACGGGGACCGGGAAATCTAATTTTCTCCTGAAGCGATAGATTCTTTAAACGACATTTTTAGTCTATTTTTTGTCGAAATGTTAAAGTTTAGAAATATAATATTACTAGGACCGGGAAATCTGTTTTTCTCCTAAAGCAATAGATTTTTTTAAATGATATTTTTAGTCTACTTCTTGTCGAAATGTACAAGTTCAAAAATGTTATATTATCGGGACCGGGAATTCTGATTTTCTCCTAAAGCAATAGATTTTTTAAATGACATTTTTAGTCTATTTTTTTGTCGAAATGTTCAAGCTTAAAAATTACGGGAACCGGAAAGTAGTGTCGTTTCGGTGCATTTGGTATTTGTTATCAAGATTTTATTTTCAATCAATAAATCACCCTCGTTAGCAGCAACCTTTCAATGCCGGATCAAAAATGAATGGAAATGGATCGAAAAAAATGATTTGGTTTTTAAGACTAACGAAAATTTGATGCGCCGAAACGATATTACTTTCCGGTCCCCCTAATATATAATATGGGATCACGTAAATGTTGCGACCTTCTAGGGGAGTTATGACATCTGGTTTAAAATTGTATAGGAACCCATGCCCAGAAATGTTGTAGTATGTGGCTAAGTACGTTTCCCTATTATAACCTGTTGAGGAGCACGGGAAATAACAGTTCGTGAAAAGGAAACGCCCCTCGTGGCGTATGTTGACATTTTTAGTCCTGATGATGCATTCTAACTTCCATAGAAGTTTGCCACAACGTTTACGCAACCCTGTGTTGTATATAATGACCTCATTTGTCTAGACAATAATATTGAAGTCTATTTCCCTTTCATCCTCTTCTTTCCCTTCTGTCTAAACTGTAGAGATGGAATATCAAGTGCCTCAGTATCTTAACATGTTCATATCATGTACTACCAATGATAAAACTGTAGTACATGAATATAATGCACTACCAATGATGAAACTGTAGTACGTGATATGAACACAATTTTGGATTGCACTATTTTGTTACTAAGCTGCCTCACTATTTTCTAAATAATTGTAAACTTTTATTATTCTACTTTCAATTAAATCAATTTTCAATCAATTTAAAGTATTGCCTTATTTATGCAATTATAAATTTCGATTATCTATTTGTAAATATATAATTATTATCGATTTTCTATATAATTATAAGCATTTATTACCATTTTGAATATATATAATTATAATCTTCTCTTTTTTATTCAGTTAAATTTTATTTGTAAATGCATAATTATAATTTTTCTTTTGTATATTTTCTTTGTGGTAAGCAATTAAGTACTAAAAATATTTTTTCGTCATAAAATAATGTATGTTGGACATTCACTTTTATGTATATTAAACCTACTACTTTTGTTTAACGATAGAAGTAAAATTATTAGATACAAATGTGTTTTGTCAGGAGTATACTATTGCGAAAGTGGTTTTACTAATACAGCTCTACAAGTTTATAAATAGATAAATTTTCAAGAAATTTTTCACTTCGATAAGATAACAATTTAAGGCACGCGCTTCCTTTCTTTCTTTTAAACTATTAGTATGAAATAAAATATAGATAAAAAGAGGGTTTAATTAAAACTTTTAATCATCGTACAATTTAAGCTGATATCTTTATATTATCATAGACTGGTTTTATTACCGTAAACTATTCGGAGTAAAATATAAAAAAAAATAAAAATTTATAAAATGAAAAAGATATAGTAGAAAAAAAAGTAAATTAATTAATAGAAAAATTTCTGAATCATTAGTAGAAAATTCTAAACTGCTATAGCACCTATTTGTTTAACGAATATTTCCGCTTAGTGGAATGTGATATACTCTCTAAATTCTCTAAAAATATCTAATAAAACTTTTAATAATTTCTTTAAAACAAAAACATCACTTTGAAAGGTATACAAAATTTAAATAATTTTGATAAAATTTAAACAAATGTTCAAACCATATATTAAATTTGATATTTTTTTCCTATAATTTTCCACGTTTTCACTATCTATATCACTCATTAAATACGATTTGATTTTGAAAATTTTAAGTAAAATGTCCTAAAAGAAAAAATAGTTATAAAATAAACCATAAATTGGTCATGAAATTCGTTTAAGGTAAGAATATGAAAAAAACAATTTCACGTCAAAAAATAATTTATTAAGGAAAGTAAACGTGTAAAAATTTAAAATATAGG